AATGCCCTGACCAGGACTTGGGGACTGTTTGGCTTTCCTGTGAGATAAATGACCTTTGCAAATCATAGTAAATTCTAGAATAAAGTTCATGAACTTGAGGTTTAACATTGTATCTTCAGAATGCTCAGGACTCTCTGAACTTTGAAAATGATGCGCAGATTGTGATTGAGGAGGAACGTGAACTATAATGTCAATCCTTTGAAGTTTGTAATTTAATGGATCAGAACTTGGCTTTGAGGACTTAGCAGCATGAATGTCTATTTAGGGAATATTCACACTTTGGAGTTTTCCAAGGAAGGTTACTTGTGATGGGGATCTGATCTTTGGGGTCACTTTTAAGGTAAAAAAAATCTGTTACCTTGCATTGTTTTGAATCTGTTACCTTGCATTGCTTGTTCATTTGTTTTAAATCATTTTCCTGCTTCAATGAAAGGAGGCAGTCACTTAGACAACAATTCAAACAGCAACCCTGTGAACTGGTGCTGTAGTGTCCGTAATTGGCAGAGAATAACCCTCTGAATGGCAGAAGCTGACCCACCTTGACAGATAAACTTTGCCCTTCTCCTGGGAGTTAACACCTGGACAACACGGAGACCTGTACAGGACCCAGGCAGAGATGAGGAGTTTCATCAGCTCATGGAGACTAATTGGACCCTTCTGGGAGTGTTCTAAGCAGCCTGTTCATTATTGCCAGAGACACGTTCTATAACAAGCTTCCTTCTGAAGTGGCTGGAATTTTGAAAAAAACCATCACTGCAGAAAAATACTGATGAAACTATTCTCATGGCCTGCTTTTGGCACCATGCCTGGAATCTGCAATTTGTAGAAGTTTTCTTGGGGGTAATAAATTATAATCTTCAACCCCCATTGGGGTTATTCAGCATTTATAATAAGATCAGGTAAAGAATATATGGCAGGTAGTAGGTAAAGGGGGGGAACTCAAGGGGACTTGGATTTGAGAAGACATGGGGACCCATGAATGAAGTCAGTAAACTTCATCGTGGTCTGCCTTGGCTGTGTGTGTGTGCACGCGCTCACATGTGTGCACTATATTTACATACAGTCAGTTACATATAGCTCAAGAAAGAGCTTATTTAAATGAACACAGTATGCACCTATTGTTTCTGCCTGTGGCCGGGTGGGGTCTTGAGCACCATTAGTGGGCTGCCTGTGTGTGGAGGGAGCCTGGACTGGGGATCTCAAGTGGGTCTATTGACTGCTGCTTTGCTCACTGTGGGACCTTGCAGGGCCAAGAGGCATCTTTCTCCTTTATACAGTTGGGATAATGCTAACCTCATAAGGTTGTTTTGAATATAAATGGAATTTTTATAAATTTTATGATTCTAATTGTAAACTTATTTGAAAATAACTATTTTATAGGGATATTGGGAAAAGTAAAGGTAACATATGGAAAGTGTTTGGATCAGTTCTGAGCATGATATTTGCTCAAAAATCGGTTCCAATTATTGTCTGACTTAAGTATTTTATGTCCAAAGCACCGTGGATGAAACTTTGGGTTTAGAAGAAGCAGTTTACTAAGAAAATAAAGGAAAAATGCAGCCCACATAAATATTGATACCATAAGGGGAATAGGTTATATTTATGAAAAATGTTGCATGAGAGATTCAGACAGAAGTCTGCCTGGATGTTGGGAATGATGTGTCCTGTGGAACATTCTCTTGCAACTGCTTTGAAACAAGTGCCAAGTTCATTTTGTTCCTTCCCGCACTTGACATGTGACTCACTTTGTCTCTGGCGGCCTTTAGCGGTGCCTCTGGAGCTGCGACCACAGCTCTCCTGTGCTTTCCATTTGCGCCCTTACCTTCAGCTCACATTCAAATAGTCTCTCCCAGGCCATGCAGAACTTTACAGCAGTTTGACTCCACTGACCTTCACTCTGACCTTCATTCACATTAAATATTTTGCTCCCTTATTACCAACTTCATGCATCATGGTGATTATTTTTGCTTTAAAATTTAAAAATGTGACTAATGTCTTCAAAGTGACTCGCACATTTCTTTCCAGTGTCTTTTATTCTGTCTTGGTCTGGGCTTCCGTCTTATTTCCCTGCCATCCGAGGAACTTCCTCCACAGCATCTTGGGGTGTGGCTCTGCTCACAGTCAGTTCTTTTGGCTTTCATTTCTAAAAGGTGTCTTCATCTCACCTCCTTTTAGAAAGGTATTTCCCTTGCGCATATTCTGTTGTGTCTGATCTGCTAAGGCCACGAAATGGTCTTCATTCCCATGTTCTCTGTTTTAGTTATAGATTTCCATTGGCATCTTTCTCAGAGTTTGAATTTCTGGACTAAAATTCCCTGTCTCTCATTTGGTGTTCTCATCTGTTTCACCTTCTCTACTGAATTCTTCAACATATTATAATACTATTAAAATCCCTGCTGGCTGATTCCCACATCGCGGTCACCTCTGCCTGGCTTTGTTCCCCTGGGGGAGGAGTCCTAGTCCCCTTTCGCCTACATGTTTGGTGCTTGCCCAGCTGGAGATCCTGTGGTCCAGCCCGGCCACCAGCCTCCCATACCTGGGACTTCTCCCTCAGCCCTTGGCCCTGCTCCTAGCTCTTGTTACCCTTCTGTGCACTGAGGAGGTCCTTGGGGGGAAGAAAGTGTCCGCAGTGTGGAGCTCTCTGTGCCACCTGGCCTGCTGGTCTGTGGGAGGTCCGGTCCCCTGCCTCTGTCCTCTGGGATGAAAGCAGCTGTAGGTGTCTTCTCACCTAGAAAAGGTCCCCCGCCTGGAACTTGTGCATCCAGACGTCTTTGCATCCTGAGCTCTTCGGTGGGATCTGAAAGACCCGTGTCCATTTTTACTGCTATGGTGGGCGCCAGGCTCCCTCCATCTCCTTCCCAACCAGAGGAGGCTGCTCTTCTCAGTTAGTCAACTGCTTCTTTGAAGAGATTGGCCATCGTTGTCACCTGTGGTCATCAGCCTCTCCTTTCCAGGTCCCTTCCAGGCCGTGTCAGGAGTCTTCCCCTGACATGTGGCTTCCCTCCATGAAGGTCAGGGAAGAGTCCCATCAGGACCTGTCTTCTGACTCTGGCCCTTCCCAGGGTCAGCTTGATGCACACCATCAGCCGCAGGGCACTCTTGGTGGCTCCTGCGGGTCACTCTGCATCACACATCTCAGCCACTCTTGCTTCCATTTAAAAATAGCAATATTGAAAAATTGGATGATTATTTAAAAACAATCTCTCTAGGATGACCTATAGTTTGACTGTTTCTGGCATTTTGACTCCTAGATAAATTGTCTCTACTCTGGTATCTATAAAGGTTTTTGGCCCTTTTCACTTATCATAAAGTAGGGAAAATTGATTAAATATTTTGTGAAGTATTTTGTTTTCCTCTCTGATGCTGTGTTTGTAAAGTACTAACAAAGTTTCTTTAAATATGATCATTTTGAGAACCAACTTTTCCTTAAATAGATACCATAAGAAAATTAGAGTTGAAAACTTTTTGTGTAGGCTGGCCTCTATGTTGCAGATAATTAACTTGAGTTCATTTATTTCTCTAAACACCTAAGTCTGTCTTACAACACACAGTCATAAAAACGTGACACGTATTTTTAAAAAGTTATTGAAAATACTTTAAATGGCGTGATCAGTTTTTACAGGAGGTCAGCGATCACCAAGTTTGTGTGATGGTCCCCATTTCACAGTCCCTTTCTCAGGTGCAAAGACTGAGTTTGGTTCTCTTGGCTCAGGGTGTCAAGAGGTGGTGAGTGCTGAGATTTGAGGCAGGTGGATTCTCCGAAGCATTCGGTTTAACAGCCCTGGGGACTGACATTGCCACTTCACTAATTAGTTCACGGAGCCTCCCTTTGGGCTAGTTTAGCAGAATGACTCCTACTTTTACCGGTCAAGAAATTGAGGCATGAGACATTGAACTGGTTTATGTGAAAAGTTTGGGCAATTAGTTCTGGAGTTCAAAATTTCAGACTCAGTTTCATCTTATTATTCCATGCATCAACCATTTTAATTCAATTGAGTTTATTTTCCACAAACAAATTCACACAGGTTTTAACTTGAGTCTTGACCCTCTGTGATTTTGTCTTAGCAAGTGTCATGGGTTTTGTGAACTTAAATTATTTACTTAGACTTATCAAGTTCATATGAAGCATTTTATTTTTATATGGTCACCTGTGTCAAAATACAATCTAAATATGATATCTGGGACAGAGTGATGTATTGGGGAAAGTGTGCAGTTCATATTCAAAGACTACCTAGGAGTCCAGGTTCACCCCATTCCAGCAGGGTGGGCACGGTCAGCTCACTTCTGCTATCTTTGACTTTGGAAATACCTCCAAGAAAAATTTATAGTCAGCCAGCCTGTCTGTCTGCCTGTCTATCTATCTATCCATCCATCCATCCATCATCTGTCTGCCCTGCATTCTTTACTCAGGGACTAGAAGTGAGGGTTTGGTGAGCCTCATGAGCCTCTCTTGGCTCACTATGCCAACCTACTCAGCATGCTGGTGAGCTGGACTTCCCAAGACAGCTTGGAGCCCAGCAGAACTGATGTTCTGGCCCTATGTTTACTGGGTGATTCTCTCACCAACTGGCAAAATCAAACCTTAAATCTGCTAGGTCCAAAATGAAGGTTTGAGTTTTGAACCGACACCATTTCACTTACTGATTTTTTTTTTGTGTGTGTGTGAGTGTGGTGTTGGGAATTGTGCAAGTGAAGCAAGCCCTCTCCCACCTGCGCCATATCCCCTTATTTATAGAGACATAATATCTGTATGTTCTTACAGGGTATGTTATGGTCCTTTGATACATATATACAGTAATAATTAAATGGGGGTAATAAACCTTTTAACTTCTAAGAAGTATATATTTTGATTTATGATTAATCTCCACTTCAGTTGGTTAATCATGAACACTTAGAGAATATTTTTTGCCATTCTTGATGGAGAAAATAGCTGTTATTCAAAATAGGTGGTTTTATTGATCTCAAACAACTGAGCCATCTGGGTTTCTTTGCTCCTAAAGGTCAAACCAGTGACCCACAGCAGGATCAACGTGTCCGCCCGCTTTAGGAAACCCCTGCAGGAGCCCTGCACCATTTTGTGAGTCTCAAGTTGAAACTGGCTTTGTATTTTCCTTTGGGTTTGGGATTTTGAATTCTGTCCATGTGACTGTGTGAACCCGTTGGCTCCTCCCACAGCTTGATTGCCAACGGGGACCTCATAAGCCCAGCCTCTCGCCTCCTCATCCCCAGGAAAGCCCTGAGTCAGTGGGACCATGTGCTGCAAATGGCCACAGAAAAAATACCCCTCCGGAGCGGGGCTGTCCACAGGTGAGTCGCGGGGTCTTCTCCAGGGCCTGGGCTTTGGGGGGAAGGTGTCCCCAGCAGGCTCTGGGGTCACTGTCTCACCAGTTAGGCTATGTGTGCCTCGGTTTGTGCATGTGTGGCATGGACAGGAAACAGTGCTGGCCTCGCGGGGCTGTTTTAGGGAAAGAAGTAATGCACATGGCTGGCGACACGCATTCCTTGCACACCAGAACACTCCTCGCACACCAGAACACATCGATATGTGGAACTTTTGTTCCTTGGGTTGAGAGTAAACAGGCTAGCACCAAAACTGCTTGAGATGAGAGTCAGCTTCGTAACTCTTAATTGACTGTCCTTGCCTCCCCCTAGGAGATATTTATAGTTATTTGATGGTCCAAATTATTTGCCTGGGGTAAAAAAATTGTTATCAGGAAGTGTTAGTGGGATAAAGGAGGAGCAGGTCACAGAGGATAGTTAAAAAACTATCTAAGCTTAAAAAACCAAGAGCATTATTAGGCTCTAAAGTTTAATTGAACATTTAAAATCATGGGTTTTAAGTTGCAAATTCTATGAAATTACCCCTTGATGGAGGCTTACATATATATTTTCCTGCGGTTGGAGAGTGAAAAATAATACTTAGACAGCATATATGTACACACACATTTAAATATTTTTGAAATCCATTCAAGTGTTTCCCAAGAGTGCTCTTCAGCCCATCTCTGCTAGCCTCTTGAACATGTTGAGTTGTGGTATACACCTTTGCTTTTAAGTCCTCATGCCTGTGTGCGCTCTCTCTCTCTCTCTCTCTCTCTCTCTCTCTCTCTCTCTCTCTCTCTCACACACACACACACACACAAATGCATGTACACTCACTATAAAACAAGTTCTCAAATGATTGCACAGTGGGTCTTTCAGTTAAATGCATGTGCAGGTTAATGTATCCATATTTACATATATTAATGTTTATTGTTTCCTGGCCATTGAGATTTTAAGTATAATCATTTGAATTGAAAATAATGCTTGGCAAAATTTCAAATAGAACAGAGTGTAGATTAAAAGTATTTCTCCCACTCCAGGCTCCCCAGAACCTTGTTCCCCCCACCCTGTATTTTTTTCATCGTTCCAGAAATACTCTGTGCATATTCAAGAATATACACCTTTTAGTTCTTAAAAAACATAGCCATGAACAAATACATACCTTATAAATAAATATATGCACATACATACCCTTGCTTTTTTCCTGTAACAACAAGTCTTAGAGATTATTCTCATGAGCACAAGTAGCTCTATCTAATTATTTGTCATGGCTGCAAAGTATTCCATTTTGTGTGTGGGCATGTCCTGATTTCTTTTGGCTGTGTCATCTGGATGGAAAGAAGTCTAGGTCATTTCCAGTATTCATTTTTACACATACACATCTTTGTGCATAAGCAGAATTTTTCAGGAGACTACAGTCTGGAGGTTGAATTACTGCTTCATGTAGCAAATGCATTTTAAATTCTGATGGACACCACCAGTTTTCTTGCAAAAAGTTTGCATCAATTTACACTCTTGCCAGAGACCCACGAGAGGCAGCTGGGGAGAGGAAGTTCATGCTTTTATCTATACTGTGAAATCAGCAGAACATTTTTGTCTTTTGTCTTGTTGGGTAAAAATAATATTTCATTGTTTCTTGATTTTTACTTATTTTATATATAGCAAGATCTATTGGATGTTTCTTGTGTGCCAGGCATTATTCCAAATGCTTTTCATTTTTAACTTAATTAGCTTGGTGACCTCGAGGTAAGCACTGTCATTCTCCTCTAGCAAACATGACATGTGGGGCCAGGAGGGAGGACTCTGACAGGTGGCCTGCCCCGAGCTTGTCTTTAACTACCAATTCTCTCCAAGTGGCTCACACTCACTTGTTACAAATGAGAGCTAGGTCATGGTCTTTGCACACTTATCTTACCGATTTTAGGCACACTTCACATATTAGGGAAATTAGCCCTTTCTCATGTGAGTTTTAAATATGTTTCCCGTTTTCATTTTCTTGATATTCTTTTTATGTATAAATGCCTTGATTTTGATAGAGTCAAATTCTCAATCTTTCTTTGTGATCACTAAGTTTTATGACTAGTTTGGATCGTCCTGACTCTGAGATATTTTTTTTGTTGTTGTTCCAGGGATCGAACTCAGGGGCACTCAACCACTGAGCCACATTCCCAGCTAAATTTTTGTATTTTATTAGAGACAGGGTCTCACTGAGTTACTTAGTGCCTCACTGTTGCTGAGGTGCTGAGGCTGGCTTTGAACTCATGATCCTCCTGTCTCAGCCTCCCAAGCTGCTGGGATTACAGAGTTCGCCATTGTGCCCAACCTAACTCTTTAAGATTTTAAAAATAATTTCTCATGTCCTCATCTTGTACTTTTATTTTTATTTAATCCTTAGATCCTTTTGGATTTTATTTTGGTGACAGGAGTGAGATGTATAATGCCTGTACATATATGTGTATATTTGCCTTTTACAAATGTAAACTCACCCAATAAATAATATAAAGCACATAATGATGTATGATTTCACACCCAGCTGTACCCTCTCATCTACGTACATATACATACATATATATATAAATATATATGAACAAACTCATACATGGAAATATATGTCCCCCGAACTCTTAAATACTTAGGGAAACTAAATTGTCACTGAAACATCAGATGTGAGTGAGGCTGGGCTGCAGCTTCCTGGGGACAAGCCCACTCTCCCTTATCAGAACATGAGAGAGTCTTTCTAAGCACCAGCCCATGCATGTATCAATAGCCTCTCATAAAAATTGGTTTGGTTACCTGTTTATGTTTTATAGCAAAGGAAGAAATCGGGTTCACAAAAGCCACATACATCAAGGCTAACCTCATGGGCGGGAAGGTGTTCAGTACCCTTTATACACCCGCGGAGAAAGCTACTCACCTTGGCTGGAGATTTCCAGTCCACAGCTAAGCAGCTCTCAGTTTCTAGCTATGAAAGTTAACCACTGACTCAGACCTAACTATTTTGAAGAAGGAAAATGGAAGAAGAATGTCTGGTTCTCAGCCAGGTGGGATCTTGCCCCTGGGGCACTTGGCAGTATCTGGAGCCATTTTTGGCTGGGGATGGGAGTAGCCGCTACTGTCCAGTGCGTGGAGAGGCCCAAGAGCTGTGAAGTGTCTTACAGTGGACAGGACAAACTCCTGCCTCTCCAACAAAGAACTCTCTGATCCAAAATGTCAGTAATGTTGCTGCTCAGAAACCCCGGCTAGGTCAAGGCAGGAAGAAGGCATCCTGTTGTGTTGACCCAGACTTGCAGGGAGGAGACACAATGTGGTGAAGACCTGGGTCTGTGTGCTAACTAAAAAGAAATGCATTTCAGGGGTGTCAGTGGCTGTTTTTTAGTGAACTTCATGGCTCCACATGGTAATGGCATTTACAGAATCAGTAAACACATTTACAGGTGGATGGATTTTTTTTTTAAGTTTTGTTTTCGCAAAAACCACTGAACTTATAATGTAATACAAGAAGTTTGAGAATTAAAAAAAAAGGATTATCTTGAAATCCTCCCAGGCACTAGCTCTTTTTTATAACCTTAAAAAAAAAATGCATTGTCTTCCTGCTTTCTTCTCTAGTGGTCTGGTTTTCTTTTTTCTACTTAAAAAAAAAAATCTGGGAACTTTAAACCACCTACCAAGATTATCACAGTTCTTTTAATAAGTAACATATTAATTTTGGCTTACAGCAGCAGTTTTACAGTAGAGAAAGTTTTTTTTGCAAAACCTTCGGCTCTGAGAGGATGTGAAGTTCACTCTCACGCTTAGGAGACTCCACAAGAGAGACAGAAAATGGGGAGGGAGGAGGGGGGAGGAGGGGAAGGGGGAGGGAGGGGGAGGGGGAAGGGGGGGGGGGGAAGGGGGAGGGAGGGGGAGGGGGAAGGGGGGAGGGGGAAGGGGAGGGAGGGGGAGGGGGGGAGAGGGAGAGGGGGGAAGGGGGAGGGAGGGGGAGGGGGAAGGGGGGAGGGGGAAGGGGGAGGGAGGGGGAGGGGGGAAGAGGGAGAGGGGGGAAGGGGGAGGGAGGGGGAGGGGGAAGGGGGGGGGGGAAGGGGGGGGGAGGGGGAGGGGGAGGGGGAAGGGGGAGGGAGGGGGAGGGGGAAGGGGGAGGGGGGAAGGGGGAGGGAGGGGGAGGGGGAAGGGGGAGGGAGGGGGAGGGGGAAGGGGGAGGGGGGAAGGGGGAGGGGGGGGGAGGGGGAAGGGGGAGGGGGAAGGGGGAGGGGGAAGGGGGAGGGAGGGGAGGGGGAGGGAGGGGCGAGGAGAGCAAGAGGAGCATGGAAGCTGTGCAGTTCTGTGCCACTGATGCTGGTGACAGGTGCTCTGACCTCCCGTGGCCTCCCCCTTCCTCTCCGCTGCCTTGGTTCTCCTGATGCGGCTCTGTGGGAGTCTGGCTCCGGGCTCTTCTTGAGTAGAATGAGACCTGAAGCTTGTCAGCCTGATGAATGCACAGAAAACACATTTAATGAGCATTCCCAAATACAAATAGAACAATCCATCTTCTATGGAAGCTGAGCTTTATTTATATAAATTTATATAATTTATAATCTTGGCATTTTGTTAAATTTAATGACTTTGAGGCATTTAGAATTCAATAACTAGAAGAGTAACAGGTGAGCCAATTTAAGAACAGATTTTTTTTTTTTATCGACACTGTCATTTTAGGCAGTCCTCTAAATGCTTGCTAGAACCCTAAATGTTGGCCCTCATGTTTTGACAGACTCTATACCTTAGAAGGGAAGCTGGTGGAGAGCGGGGCAGAGCTGGAGAATGGGCAGTTCTACGTGGCTGTGGGCAGAGATAGGTTTAAGAGGCTGCCGTACAGTGAGTTGCTCTTTGACAAGTCGGCGATGCGAAGGCCCTATGGGTGAGTCTCCCTCCCTCGCCTGCTCCCCTGCTCCAGTCTTCACCTGAAGTAGCCCTGGGTCTTCTGTGGATCACCAAGATATTTTGGTGATAATCTTATTTACAGTTAGATGGAAAGTATGCCTGATACATATCCGTCTTGGCTTTTACTTCCACCACGGGACATTGAGAGCTATTGCACAAAAGTACCATCTTTATGGAACTTATGAAAGACTGCATAGATTTTTTTTTTTACCTTGCATTGAATTTATAGTAAATGTAAAGATTTATTATTGTGAAGAAGATCCAGGGCAATGAGCTTTTCTATGTAAATTTTATTAGCTGTTTTAGTGTTGTTACAAGTTATCTGGACCAAATAATTTTTCAGTTGGGTTTGGAGGGAAACCTCAAAATGTGTTAAAAACATAACATTTTATGACCTTTTTAATATAAAGCAATATAAGTGTAAAACAATATAATCTATTTGTACAGATAAATCGACTGAGTGTATAGTTAATACAGGCAAAATTTTAATGATTACACTCTTAATTATACCCAATACATTTTTCTCCATGAAATGTCCTGTTTGTGAAAGATGCTTCATTTTTGCTGAATGATGCACAGCAGAGCCAGCCACATGTGATGCACTTTGGCCCTGGCCATTGGACCTCCTGGACTGCTCATGGGGCCCCAGGATCCATCTGTGCTGATTCTGTGGCCACTTTGCTCTGGAAACCAAGTTTTTTGTGATTGTCCTCGAAAGAGATGGAACAGGATGTCAACCACGTGTTTTCCATTAATTCCACAGTTTGTATGGCTCTATGGTGAGGCTAGCCAAGTGTTTCTAAAGAAATTACAGGTGAAGTGGAATTTCAGGGGCAGTGTTGGAACTGGGCAAGGGCACGTGGAGTTCTAGCAGTTTAGAGTTGTTTACCTGCAGACTCATTGCTAACTCTCCTTACTCACCCAGGAATCAAATCCTTTTACAATGTATGCAGAGAAACACTGCATTCTCTGCCGAGAGCCACAGCCTGTACTTGACGGCAATGTGAAGATGCAGCTCACGCTGGCCTTTCTCCTGCAAGTTAGCCCCATCTCCATCTGCCTTTAATACCTAGGTCCTCCTATTTTTGGAGACATCCATTGAGTTTCAAGATGGGTCTTCCCCTAATAATACAGTCATCTGCCAAATAACTTACAGTCCAAAAGACTTTTTTTTTTTTTTGCAAGAATTACTGTCTTAAAACTTCCCTGAATGCTAATGCCAGTTTTTTACCACCCTATCAGATGTAGACAAAGCAGATATTATGAAAAGAAGGAAATGATCAAGTTAAAATGTTTTTAGCTTAGCCTGGCACAATCATTACCTCACTTGGGAAATGATTTTTTGAAATGCAAATGGAAAACATTGTGATTTGATGAAAAATGCTATGACAACATTTATAATGGTAGGAAAAGTTTATTTTTGGGCATCAGCTAAAGTAGTATACAAGAAAGCAGTAAAATATTTTGGAATGGAATTTGGAGATTTTGGGGGTAGTCTGAAATTGGAAAAGGTCATGGTACTTTTTCTGAAACATAAATGGCATGACAGTTGACTTTCAGGTTGGAGTGAAATTATCTTGCTTTATGTATATTATTTTAAAATAACATTCAGATGTCTAAATTGTAATTTGTTTCCACAGTCAGAAAGCCTCTTCACTACCTCCTATCGTAGGATCCAGAAAGTCTAAAGGGAGTGTAAGTATCAGATGCTTTTCTCATTAATGTTCCATATTTCTATATGAGAGACTGTCCTTTGGGTTTCAATTAAAGTCAAAGAAATGAAACTTAGCTGCCTTGTGGCATATAAGCAATTATTTCAAACAACACTAGAGCTTTAAAGTTACAGAGAAGGTCCTAAAAGGGAGCTGCTATTATTAAAATATAGGTTTCAAAAATGTTTTATATATATATATATATATATATATATATATACCTGCTATAATTTATATCATGGTTGAAATCTGGGCAATAATGCATAAGAGTATGAGGACCACTTATTGGGCCACATCAGTAGTCAATCCAGTCTTGTTTTCTATCTCTAATAAATAGTAACAAACAAGTTTTGCTAAGAAAATGGTAAGTCTCAGTTATATTTCTCTAAAACATCAAGAATCATTGTATATGTTTAGTTTCATACTAGAATCTTTCCATTATTCATTCATTATTTGTTAGTTCAACGATCCTTGATGAAATGCCTATTCTGTAGGGTCTAGTACTTGGTAGGTAGCTTCTTAACCTGTTTGTATTTATAGACTAAGTTCCCTGTAAGGGTGAATCTCATGTGATGTTGGTGGATCTTTTTTTGGGTACTAGGGATTGAACTCAGGGACATTCAATCATTGAGCTACATCCCCACCCCTATTTTGTATTTTATTTAGAGACAGGGTCTCACTGAGTTGCATAGGCTGGCTCACTGTTGCTAAAGCTGGCCTTGAACTCGCGATTGTCCTGCCTCAGCCTCCTGAGCTGCTGGGATTACAGGTGTAGGCCCCCACTCCTGGCTGGTGGGTCTTCGCACTAGCATCCTCTTTCTTCCCTCTGGACTGAACTGCCTGACCAGTGCGTGGCCATCAGAACTCCCTGGGCATCCACCACCCCAACCTGAATTAACTAAGCCACACTCTTATTTTGTTATTTTGAAGAACACGGGATTGATAGGTAATGATACTGCCTCCTAGTGGTGATTTCATACCCCTTCCCCGTTTTGTTGTATCATATGAAATTCTTGAAAAAAACCAAAAATAATTTTGTGTAATTCAGTCAGGTTGAACTCAGCATACCAAACACTCACGAATCACTTGTTCACTGAGACCTCCTGATGTTTCTGACAAAACTCTTGCCCGCAAGAAACTCACAGTGTAATAGAAATCGAGAAGCCAGCCTGAAAAGTCAATGACCAAACTAAAGCCAGACACCAAACGGTGTCAGGATTAGTGACTGTGAGTGGAAGACAGGGAAGGGTGGGCTGGCAGTTGAGGAAGCCGGGTTTGGACTCGCCTCAGAGGGCTAGTTAAGATTTAGATGGAGGAGGATGAGGGGCAAGAGGTTTGTGGTGCAAGGGATGGATGGTGTGAGGACAGGAGGAGGAGGGCACATGGAGACCAAGCCGGTTGACTGAGACTCAGCAGGCACGGGAGGGCTCTTTGCTCTTCGAGGTGGCTTGGCTGGGGGGCCACAGCTGGTATTTTGAGAATATTGCCATTGCTGGATTCATTCATCCTGAAGTTATTTATGGAGTGCCTATTCTGTGCTGGGCACTCACTGTTCAGAGATTCCCAAACACTCAATGTGTGAAGGCTACTTTCTAGAGGACAGAAGCGGACAAATAGGCCACAAGAAGGAATGAGCTAGAAGTACGCATCAAGAAACAGGACCAGCACGTGGAAGAGGCCGTGTCACTGAGTGTTGGGGAGCCTTTTAGGGTGACCCCTAGCGCGTCCCTGGTGATGGACGGTACGCACCACGCCCATTCACCCGGTGTGCACATGTCCACAGTGAGCCGCACAGAGAGAGCATCCCCTGCGGGTGAATCCAAAGCTCGATTTTTAACAGCAGGGTTAATTCACTCCTCTCCTTTAATTGATAGGTTCCCTGGAGAGTGCACACGATTTAGAGCTCATTAGTTGTCTGTCCCTGAGCCAACGGCAAGCACCCCAAGTCAAGGGGACAGAGACAAGGCTTTATAAATGTGTCCCCCCCTCCCTGGCTTTCTAGGAATTGCTCTGCTGCTGAAGGGGACGGTGGGCCCGGCCCAGGAGGCACTGGTCCACACCGTGCGCTCTGCGGGTGAGCGCTGAGCTGCCCCGGGCAGGCACCACCCGGGAGCATGTTGCGCAAAGCCCGGCACAAGCTGAGAGTCACTGCGACCCTACCCTTAGAAACAGAAGGAAGGTAGAATGAATGAGATCTCGAGTTTTGCTGAGTTTGAAAACCCCCGTCGGAGGGCGGTCCTCCGCACCGCGCAGCCTCCACGCGCCCTCCAGTGGAGGAGAGGACGCCGCGCGCGCGGGTCGTCCTTATTATCCTTTGGCCATTGCAGCCTATAGTCGCTAGTTTACAGGATCCAATATAATTTCTAAGCTTTTGATAAAGACCTGCACGGTTACCATGACGGATGTGCACCACAAAGCCACTGTGAAGCAAGTTATGAACACTAAGGTACATTCCTCCAACACGGGGGAAACGCAGTCCCAGATGGGCACAAGGCTCAGGAGGCAAACCCCTCCTACAATCATCTCACGCTTGATGTTTTAGGCACATTTGTTGCGAGGGCTGGAAATGGGTCTACTGTGGCCATGCGAAGAAACTGGAGTAGGTTGGGTCTTGTTGGAAAGATCCTAGGGTATTGCAAATATTAAAATAATAATAATAATAATAATAATAATAATAATAATAATAATAATAATAATAAAACAGTTTGAAGCCCCAGTCCTCTTAGGATACAGGTGATTGAAGGGCTATATTTTTTGGCTTTGTTTTGTTTTTGGAACTGGGAATTGAACCCAGGGGCACTTTACCCCTGAGCCGTATCCCCAGCCCTTTTTATTTTTCAGTTTGAGACAGGAGCTTGCTCAGTTCAGAGGCTGGCTTCCTGCCTCAGCCTCTCCAGCTGCTGGGGTTACAGGCAATGCTGAGCTGTCCAGCTTGTTTGTGTTTGGTACGTGTGAGCTAGGGGATTGCTATTCCTAATAACAATTGTGTGTGTGAGACAGAAGGTAGAAGCACACGGTTGAAGCATAGCCCTGTGGCTAGTTTTTCTTTGTAAGACATCTATAAAATTAGGCCTTCTCGATTCTTCCCTTTCTGAGAAATTTGCATGATTTTTTACTTCTGGGATGGCTGTTTTGGAAACCATATGTATCGTAGGTGTTTTGAGCATCTTGGGCATTAGAAAGCTTTGGTGTAGTAGAAAAATCATACCTTGAGAAAGGTATTCCTTTAGCTATAAAATACTGATCATAATACTTCATCATACATTTGGTAAACATTTGGTTAGTGTGTATGTAGCACATACGAACCACTCAATAATATTATTTTACTGACTAGCACAGCTGTATGACTTGGCAAAACTCCCCTCTCTCTTATGCCTCCCAAAGAGCAATGACTATCTATCCCCCTATATCCAAGTCACAAATCAAATGTGGAGCCTCAGAAAAGAAAAACAAACAAACAAAAAACAAACAAACAACCCCCCCCAAACACAAAAAAATAGCCAGCTTTGGTAGTGCACACCTGTAATCCCAGAAGCTCTGGAGGTTGAGGCAGGAGGATTGCAAGTTAGAGGTTAGCCTCAGTAACTTTGCAAGGCCTTAAGAAACTCAATGAGACTCTGTGTCAAAATAAAAATTAAAAAGGGCAGGGGATGTATTTCAGTGATAAAATGCCCCTGGGTTAAATTCCTAGTATCCCCTGCCTAAAACAAAACAAAAAAATGCACCTGCTCCCCCTTTTCCTTCTCTCTATAACTACATATAACTTATCTATCATATTCTGAGATAAACAAGTCTGAAAATATATTATGCCACTTACATATAATTTTCATATAGTTATTTTTCATATTATTAAGATTTTAGATGAATCAATGTTTTTTTCTTTTTTCAAAGAAAGCATTTGAATTCTTTTCAGTCTCCTAAATACAAAATGATTCTCTCCCTTTTCTCGGTGTAGTTTAATTTTTACATGCCGTTGCCTGGAGAGGAATTATCTCTCTCAATAATTGAGTGCAGAGTGGACGTCAGTCATCAAAGACATGCCTGATGTAGCTGTTTAGTCAATTGGTCCTTCTTAATGCTCCCATATCACCTTGTGAGCATCCCTATCAGAAATGGAAAAGTCATAATTTCACTGAATATTCAACATGAGAGGTGGCTTGTAAAATTATATTAATGTTAGGCATCCCAGGACGGGCCTTCCTTTTCCTCCCTTGTTTCTCCCCTTTCTCAAGTAATACTTTTCTTGGAGAGCTATGGAAAGCCACTTGCTGTGCTCCCGAGTCTTGCACCTGATGGGTTCCCTTCGACTCTAGCCTGTGCACCTCAGAACCTTCTAGTACTTGCCAATGGCTTGAGCAGGGTTGTTCCCCTCACCCATTGCTTTTATAATTTTAAAATATTGGAAATAGACCAGGATAATGGACTTGATTAATGGATGTGGAACCTCCTCTGGAATCATATTATCTATTTCCTCTGCCAGACAGTTTACGGCCTTGCAAGAAAGAATCATGGGAAAAAGAAAAGAAAAGAAAAATAAAAAGTCTGGTTGTAGTTAATGCAGTAATTAAATGGAAACTGTATGTTTAAATTGCAGTTGGAATAGGAAATTAAATTATGCAAAAGTGTTATAGATTTGGACAAGTTTTCATTCTGTTAATAAATCTATGCATAATTCATTTTCTTGTAGGCTATGACAAAATAGCATAAATAACTTCATTTGTAAGGCTGAGCATTTTTCTATTCTTAATTGGGTGATGGCTAAAACCATTTAAATGCTTCTGGATGGCTGAATATATAAATGTTTAAAATGAGCAGTTCTAATAGGTTTCTAGGCAGATTTGTTTATTTAATATCACTACATTTATTTTCAGATCCTAGCATAGTACAGATGTTGCATGAAGATTGCACCTAATATGGCACAAGTGTGATGTGGTTTTTAAGGAAGAGACGCCTACTCTCTGCTGTTGGAGAAGGCCTTCCCACCTCACCATCAGGCTCCACGCCAGTCCCCCGGTCCCTTTATAAACTGTCCCCTGCATATTCATGATAGGCCTTTGGGCAGGTACATTAGCCCCATTCAACCTAGGCTCAAAGAGGAGAGAAGTCAGTCTATGTCCCCAGAGGTAGTGGCAAAGTGGAGCTCTGACCAATGGGGATTTCTGTTTTTTGTTTTTTTGTTTGTTTTTGTGGTGCTGGGGATTGAACCCAGGGCCTTGAGCATGCAAGGCAAGCACACTGCCAACTGAGCGATAGCCGCAGCCCATGACCAACTCTTCACTATCTACCGCCCACCCCTTATACATTCAGGTGAGTTTAGCACTGGCATCTGAGGACCAGCGTCACCTCACTAGGGGGAGGTTCTTGTTGGTGCAGTGACCAAGTAGTGGCTGAGTGTCAGTGCAGCTCTTCCTTCCTGTAGTGACCACCATAAAGAGTGTTCCATGGCTCCCCAGAAGCTGTACTGGGGCTGGGATGGGGGCCTCCGAGTCTCAGCCTCATCCTTGTGCTGAGGAGCCCATTCCCAGAAGGTACAAGGTCTTTATTGCAAGAGGCCTGTGGGGACCAGAGGCAATCACCAAAAGCATGGTGGCTTGTGGCTGCCTTGCAGAAACAGGGACAAGTGGGAGTGAGTGGGGGGAACATGTGGCCCTGAGCTGCTTGTGTCTGTGTATCACTCTGGATGTGTGATTCTGAGATCTTGCTCACCACCAACAGAGGAGTTCCTAGTGGAGCATTTTCACACGCCGGGCCTGCCTATGATACTGATGTGTGCACGTGCCAGTTAGTTAAGAAGGGCGCAGGAGGCCGGGTGCAGCCGCGCACACCTGTAATCCCAGCGGCTCTGGAGATGGAGGCAAGAGGATCTCAAGTTCAAAGCCAGTCTCAGCAATTTAGCGAGGCGCTAAGCCACTCAGTGAGACCCTGTCTCCAATAAAATATAAAAGAGGGCTGCAGATGTGGCTCAGTGGTCCAGTGCCCCTGAGTTCAATCCCCAGTACCCCCCAAACAAGAAGGGCGCAGGAGTGGAGGGTGGCTGTGGCAGCTGACTGCCCTGGGCTCTGGAGTAGTCACCTCTGCTCCTTACCCTGCAGGCTGGAGCTGCAAGCCTCACTTCCTCATCCACACCACAGGTGGCCACAGGTGACCACAGGACCTGCCTCAGGGACAGCTTGAAGACTGGGAGAGCAGCTCTGTGCATACCTGGTGCATATTAGGCACTTAACTATTGTCAGCTGTTGCTGAGTTGGGAGTTCCTTAGCCTGCAATAAGGGTCTAATCTTTTGCTGTTTAGGGAAATGATCGCCAATCTAAGTCGACAGTTGGGTCCAGTGACAACTCGTCTCCTCAGCCTCTGAAGAGAAAAGGGAAAAAAGAAGTCCCGAATTCAGAGAAATCAAGGAAGTCGAAACAAAATGTCAAGTTGAAGAATGCACAAGAAATGCTGCCCGACAGTGGTGAGTTTGTTCTTGTTGTATTGCTGTTATTACTTATTATTATTTTAAGACTGTGATGCACTTCTAATTATTAGCTGGGTGCAGTGAGCATACCTGTAATCCCAACAGTTCTGGAGGCTGAGGCAGGGGGATTGCAAGTTCAAGGCCAGTGTCAGCAACTTAGCAAGACTCTAAGCAACTTAGTGAGACCCTGTCTCAAAATAAAAAAATAAAAAGGCTGGGGATGTGGCTCAGTGGCAGAGCACCCCTGGGTTCAATCCCCAGGACCAAAAAAATAAAAAAAATAGCAAAAAATGAAGTCCCTGGTTTGCTACTTTGGGTCCACAGAAGATACTCCTTACTGTTACATATGAGAGTTTTCAAAGAAAACTGCTGATACTTACTGATCCTCACCAACAAATGCCGTGTAAATGAACCAAAATCTGCGTTAGTCTGAGATTTCTAGAGCATGAGACAAAGTGTGATGAACTAATGAGGTATGTGACGCAAGCAGGGAGTTCCGGGGGAAGTCCGGCAGAGTGCTGGTCTCCTTCTGGCATGTTGTCAGCTGGGTGAGCTCCTGAGAGTGGAGTGGTGCTGGGGGCCCAGCGGAGCGACTGCTTCCTGCCTCCCCTGGGACCCACTCCTGCACCCTGCCAGGGGGACACGCTGTGGGTGGGAGGAGCGTGGATGGATAAGGGTTCAGATTCACAGACGGGCCCTGACTTACCCGGGAGCTCCCGATGCCTCCAGAGTCACGGGAATTGCCGGCAGCCAGTGCAGGCTGAGAACTGAGGGGAAGCCTGACTCCTGTGAGCGTTGACCAGAGGAGGGAGGACCTTCGAGGCCAGGTTAAACGTGGAGGTCAGATGGGAGCAGTTCCACCAGGTGGGGAGGGACATCTTCACAGCTTTAGGTGAGGGCGACTGGCTACAAGCAGGCATCCTAGATTCTCCTCCTGCTCTTGATGTTGGGCAGCCTGTCTGTCTGTGCTGGGCCTCATTATGTATCTCCCAAATGTGGGATCACATTATGATTTATCTTTAAGATGTTGCTTATCTTTACACTTGTACCATCCTTTTCAGAGACCGGGAGATAAGGAGGCTGGGGGGAGGCATACAGGTGGCGCTTGGTTATTGAGTGTCGGTTACATGGCAAGAACCAAAGAAAAGAAATTAGCCTGGACGGACATGCTGAACCTTGAACATTGTAAATAACAGAGGCTCAATTTTAGTCAGTATATACCAGATCGGGAGCCCCCAAGGCCCTGTCTTACTAGGTTTTTCCTTGTTTGTTTTTTTAAATATTTAATCCCTAATTCTGGTGCAAGTTTAATAGCTATGAGGCACTTACTAAATGTTGAATGAATGAATAATGCAACTTGAAAATGGATAATTCTCTGTGATACTATAAAATCCACTAAGAAACAGGACCTTTAAAAAACTTTTCAGGAATTATTGACTGAAAGGCTTAAAGGAGATGTTATTTACTTATTATCTGCAAGGCTCCTATTAGCTTATGGCAATCCCAATTCCTGCTTCCACTATATTTTTAAAAAGTCTTTGGATTAGTATTCATCCCTGGGAGGAAAGGGAATAATTATCTTTTCAGCTTTCATTATTTGTAGAGACTTGGGAACGCATGAGGCCATGTTGACCTTGTCCTTCAGAGGAAAGCAACCTTGATTAAAAAACACAACTCTCAGTATTTTTGCTTTTGTAGAAATTCACAGTTGTCAACAACATTTGTATCTGTGGCATGAAAATACCAAAACTGTGTTTCATATTGAAGCAAGTCACTTTGCTAAAGTACTGGGCAAAGGTAGAGATCCTCTGCGTTCGGCCCAGTCCTAGGAGAATCCTGCGCTTGTTCCCGACAACTGCCTGTCTGTGCTAGTGATGTGCAGATGACAGGTGTTCAAACTGCTGATCTCACGGACCACCCAACAGCTCCTGGTGCCTTCCAATGAAGGTTTTATGCTGATTTTCTTTTTCTCCGGAAGAGTCTTATACTGCTGATCTAGAAGGCATGTCTAAGAGTTTAGAACAAAGCCTTTTGTATCTTTTCATCCTGATAAGAAAGAACATACAGCCTGGAAAATGAATCTCGGCTTCCCAAACCATTCCCCCCCACCCCCAGGAAAAATGAAAAAAACATTTTGAGTAGTTCTCTAGATTCAGCTGTCACTTGATAAGCTTAAGCATTGCACCCAGAGTCCATACTACTGAAAATCCCATGCTCTCCCTCCCTATGTCTTGGCTAGAGAAAATCTCCAGATTATAATATCAAAAGTCCTTCTCTCTCTCTCCCCCAAATCAGTCTTCCTATTTATTTATGATTGAAGTTGCTTTTTATTTTAAGGCCGTCCATTTGATTATTAGAAGCAAGTGTGTGCTTTCTAGTGCTCGTATCTTAAGAGGGCTCCAGCTCCTGGAGAAGGTAAAAGTAATAAAGATTTGAAGCAAAATGAATGTGAGGGCATGAGAGGTCAAGGTCATGAGGAAAAATGCGAGTTTGGTTTTAGGATGAAATCTACATACCTTTTTCTAAGTTAAAATACATGTAAAATTTGATGGTAAGCAAGTGCTTCCATTTTATTTCAAAGCATTAAGTTTTGGTAGGGTGAAGGAATATCTAGCATATGTTGAATTATGAGATGATTGATCCAGTTTTTTTTCCTCCATCCTGTTCTCAGCTTGATGTATCATAATTAGATTCGTAGCCACACGTTGTCTTTTATTTAACTGCAGATACTGATACTCAGTATCAAGTGCTGTGTGAATGAGCAGTGCTGCTATCAGACTGTAGATGGCAACCTGGATCTAATTTTATTTCTTTTCCTTTTTTTTTTTTTTTTGACTCTGTTTCTCTCTGTAACAGTAAAGCTTAATAATTCAAGCAGAGCCGTGACATATTTCTTCAGGGAAACGAATCCCATTTTCTTTTAGTAGCCAAGATGCAAAGTAAGATCGGCTGGTGATTGATGAAGTTGGGTGTGAAATGCATTTTTAGTGCTGCATTTAAACACCAGCTTAAGTGGCCTGCACGTTTTGTTACACTTTCCACTTGAGTTAGGGTGCCTCCAGGTGTGTTTTAGAGGTGTTAACTGGCTGCTCCCTACAATGTGAGATAAATAGTAATGGTGAGTGCTTTGAAGGCATTTTGGATGACCAGTTATATCCACGGATATTATTAATATTTGGTACATGAAAAAATTGGGTGCTTTTAGAGTCCATGGAACACAGAAAGTATAGTGAGTGTAGTCTGGAAATGTCGAGAAGATAATTGCCTGTCTGGATTGCTACAACTTGTGCTGTATTGATAATTATGAGGACTTTTTAAAGGCAAAATACCAAGGTGTGATAAGAAGCAAAGTCTGCCATCTTTTGAAGGCTGTGTGGTTGTCTTTCAGTTTGCACACAGGATGTGCATGTACACACACACACACACATACACACACTGTGCACACACACTGGAGGACTAGTGTCCTTCCTGATGCTGTCCCTAACTTATTCCCAGTGTTGTTCTGTGCGAGTTGCCAGGGGACTTGTGATATTTGGACTCCTGATGAATGGTTGGGAGCAGTTGCAGTGCCTGCAGACAGATGTCTGGATATGATGACCTTGTTGAGTGACTGCCCTTGAGCAGTCATGCTCTTGAGTTTCCTAATAGCTACAACCTGCACAGGGAGCGAGGGAAGCCTGACTGCAATCCATCCCGAGTGTCAGTGTCCTGGGGCACAGAGTCAGACGGCACTGGAACTTGAGTTCTTGGGTTCGACCTTGTATCAGCTCAGGTGCTTGTACAGCTCCGGGTCCCAGGAGACCCTGCTGACGAACCAGAGGCACATTTGGGAAATGTGCTCTCCCAGGTCTCAGCCCTGAAAGGGGAGTTTTGTCCCAGAAGAGAATGTGGAAGAGGCGCCCAGCTGCCATGGCGAGGCTGGAGCTGGTCCTGGTCCACCTGCTCGGGGAAGACGTAGGTCTGCCTGTGTCTCCTGCTGCCATACTCCCCCGGTGACAGGACATACACACTTTCTGTTCCTTCACTGATCTTAACTTTCACCTCGATGGCAAAATGTGCTGTGGGAGGTGGGCCAGCTTTATCACGTCAAGTGTAATGAAAAGATGCAGGATGGGCGTTTCCCATACAGTGACGATCCACTCACTGGTGACATGTCATGCAGCAAGATTCTAGCACAGCAAGACTTGAGTCACTCCTCGTGTGCTTATGGTAGAATTCAACTTCTAGCAATAAAAGTCAGTGTCAGAATGTGTATTTGGTCAGCCACTTTAGTGCTGAGAGGTTGAGACCTCTGTAGTAAGTTCTTTTGGGGGTATTTATATGGTGTAGGATTGTGGCATGAAGATTTTTTTTTTCCCTCAAAAGGAGAAGTTCATGAGGTGTTGAATTACATGGATATCCCAAACCTTTGTAAGACTATCCCAGAAATCCATCGTAAGTAGGTGTTTGGGGCTTGGATCACATTTTCTCTGTATGGCTCATACCATCCTATGCAGCCCAGTGTTCCTCCAAATCATCTTATTATACCCGCAGCACCATGTAAAGTGCCTACTGTGTGCAGGGAAGTTGCTGACAGGGAAGGAATCATGTGCCCAGCTGGGAATGACACAGCTGGCACCAGCCTGCTGCCTCTAGGCGTGGCTTTCCGCCCTCCCTTCTCAGACATTGTCCTTGCTCCTAAGTGGGGCTTTTCCCTTCTCACCCCTCCCCAGGGCCGCAGATTCCATAGCATTCCCTATTCTGCTGCCTCCAAAGCCAGGTCTGAGTCCTTCTGTAGCCTCCTGTAGATAAAAGGCAGGTCCACTCACACTGGTCCTGGCCGAGCAAAGACTGTCACATGAGGCATCCACATTTCAGAGAGAGACCAAAGTTGGGTCCCCTGGAGTTTCACCATGGACTCTGAGGTAGGGCCCAGAGGGAGGCTTGGCCAGTCTGCCATCATGAGTGTCCCCGGGATGCCCATCTTCAGGGTGGCAGAGTGGGGGTTGGAGGAGAAG